TGAAAATAAGAGCACTGGGGGTTAGACTTGGGAACCTGGCAACCAGAGGACCAAGAAAGATACTCACTGCACAAAGACTCTGTCTATTCATTTCATGCTACCTTCTGTTCAGGGCACCTCCATATTTCTAGATTCCCCATCAAGATAGGTTCCAAGTCTATGCAAATGCTCTCACGTCAAGGCAAGCTCTAAGGAGCGTTCTCCTCTTTTTTATCTTATGTCACAACATGATATGTAGTTTTCGGGAGAATGCAGAACTGTTATTAGACGTAAGATTGCTGCTCTTATCTATAAGAAATTCTTGGAAATAACAAATTGATTTTTCTTTAAAAATCATACCTAATTTGCATCAACAAGGCATGTGATTGAAAAGGAAAACACAATTAGGAAAAGGAAGTTTCGGTGTCATTTTGAATCTTAGATCATAAATAAAGAGGATCCAGATCTCACTATTACATAACTAGTTAGTGATACAATTAAAACAAAGAAGAAAATGAATCAATTTTGTAACAGTGTAAATCAAAGATTTCTTAATTAGTAATAAAAAAAAGCCAATTCAACTAAATGGTGGCATTTTGTAACTCCAAAATTAAAATGAATTGCCTTCTAGAAATAGTTCTCGAAGTAAACTGTCTGTTCTCATGAAACATAGAAATAATTCCCAAGAAGGAAAGAAGGCATTTAGAGAGAGGTCATTTGTTTTATTTAGTCCATTACACAATTTTAAAATCCCTTTATTCTGCAAATTTGTGCTGCCAATGGAGAATCTGAAGAATTCCCAAAGACGGAAGAGAACTATGAGTCACAATGAGCAGGATGCTGGATTATAAAGACAACTGAAACAGGTGAGATTGCTGGACACTGCTAATACATTGCTATCTATGACAACCCCCATAAGAAGGGCATGATATTATGGCTTAATTTTCCCAATAGTATTATTTTTTACTGGTTAGTTTTGCCCTATATTTTAACTGTTCAGTGATTGGTGTGAATGACCTTTTGCAAACCAGCTTGCCAGTTTATGGATGTTCTTTCTGCTGTAAGGAGCCTGATAATTCTCCGTGCCATAAACTCAGTTTTTCTATTCAATAAATATTTATCGAGTATAAAATACATGCCTGGCACTTTTCTTAGCACTGTGGGTATAGCAGTAGTTAAATACAACCCCCTGCCCCGCTCTTGTGCAGCTAATATTCTAGGACAGTAAGTAGGATGAAAGAACCATATGGTGTTTTAGATCATAATAAATGCTGGGGGAAAAAAATAAAGCAAGGACAGGGGAGAAACATTCTGAGTGGGAGGTGGGGTTTGCAAATTTTAATCACTTTCAACACCTGACATTGTGAGATGTGTGGGTTAAAACAGACAAAAAGATTTTAAATGAGTGCAAGTTTAAGTAGACAAGCTTGTCAAAAGGGAGAAAGAGGGATGTAAGAAGACAGATCAATAGCTAGACAGTGGGTTCTATCTTCCACTTACTAGCTATGTGACTATAGACAAGCTGTATAACCTCTCTTGTTCAGTTTCCTGGAAAAGGAATAATAATAATAATCATAACATTTATTACAAAGGGTTGTTATAAGGAGTAAATGAGTTTATACATATAAACTGTGTAGTGCCTGGCACATAAGTGTTTGCTCTTCTTATTAAATAACTATAATTATTTTTACAAAAAGTAGCTCTACAAACATTAATCCTTGGCTTTTGCAATGTGGTTGTGTGTTTATCATATAATGCCATCACTTTAGATCAGACACTCTTTGGAGGCATGGCAGCCAGTGAAGAAAGTATGAAAAGTGTTCTGGTATCCGAGAGACTCAGGTGTGAATCCCTGGTCGTTGAATTTTAATGGCAGCAGCAAGACCTTGTAGAGGTTACTAACCTTTTTCTGAAGTCTCAGTGACCTCTTCTGTAAAATATCTATTTTGTAGCACTGTTTAAAGAACTAACGAAGCAGTGTAAATAGGAAAACCTCTGGGGCACATAGGCAGTCAACAGATGATACAATATTGACGAATTTGGGGCAGAATGTTACTCTTTCCTAAAGGGTATAACTGAGGAAACTGAGGAAAATGATTATAATACTAAAGAGACTGTTTGAAAGTATTATCAAACATTAGAGATCTTACACATGCAACTGATAATCTCATTTTTACTTGCTTTTAAAGGCACCCAGCCTTGCAAGAACATTTACTAGGTAACTCTGTTAGATTTACTTGCTATCGAATGCAACTAAAGGAATACAATCATATTTTTTAAAAATCCTGCCTTCTACACAAGCATTTAATTTTAATAAAAGCATTTTCCTAGAGTTGCCAACCTGTACCTCTGAGCAGTGGTATGGGTGCTAAATAAATGTGAAGGGAAAACTTCCATCTGGTGGAAGCGAGGTGCATGGAAGACAGCTCCTTTCCTCCTTGCTCCTCTCTTTAACAGGACCAGGACATCTCTACACAGCGCTTGCACCCCATGCTTCACAAAGGTGCACTGTGATCCTTTTGTATTTCACAGGGGAAGAAGCACAGCCGCTTAAGACACCTGAGTCCAGTCCCAGCTGGCAGACTTATTTACTCTATGGCAGTGGGAAAGTCACCAACCACCCAGGACTTCTGTTTGTAAACTAGGATAAAAACTGTTTTCACAACAGGACTGTTGTGGGGGTATAATACTTTTTGAAAAAGTTATGTTAAAGAGCATGAGACTGTTGCTATTAACAATGGCCTGTCATACAGGTGATGTATAGTCTCTTTTTTTTTGCCAATTCATTTTTTTCCCCTAAAGTTCACTTAGCAATGAGTGAACTTAGGTATGTTCTTTCCCCCTTTCATGGCTCTGAGTGTTTTGTTCCTATCATTCAATAGAAAAATCACCAATACTGGAAAATAATAGAAAAGGGTAGGAAAAAGAAAAGAAAAGAAATAAAGCCCTTAATGGAAGATTTCAGTTAAAAACAACCCAAGCAAACCTTATCTATAGCATTGCAAACAAAATTTGACTAAAATGAGATAATTAGGACTGGGAAGGCTCATTATTTGTCTCTTGCTCCTTTGTTCTCAGCTGGAGCTAACTAATCTCTTGTCTCTCTCCAAAGTACTGAGTGCCTATTTTATGTCAACAACCACAGTGCTCAGTGCTGGGGATCTAAGAGTGAACAAGTCGCTAAGGACCCTGCCTGCAAGGAGCTGAGCTGAAGACAGGATGAACAGAGAATAGCACATGTGTTAAATTAATTACAATTGTGATAAGGGGTACGAGAAAAAAGTAATAAAATCTTTAAAAATTCAGTGACTCAAGAGAACTCTTTCTGAGAAATTTCCTGAGGGTGGGATTCATAACCTCTGTTCCTCCTTATGATTAACAACTTTCAAAGTTAATAACTGCTTACTTTTTACTTAATGGCATTTATGCTTTTTACTCTCATGCTGTTTTCAAGAGTGATAAAGACGACGGTCCTCTTTTCTAGCTGTAAGAGCCCTTCAAATATTGGTGACAGCTTCCAAATAAGATTAGTGTCCATGCTTAAAACACAATGCAGAACATTAATATAGCCTTGGGTTTTTTGCAGTGAATTCATATAAAAAATATTGCTGAAATTTTACAGAGATAAATGGCCTATACTTTCCCTACAAAGCATTAGCAATTGTTCTGATAAAAATCAAAGCATTTTCAGTACCCTAATCAAAATGATCTAACAGAAGCCTTGAAAAAGAGATTTGCTATTTGTCAATATCAAAATATCACACCACCAATAACAGAGGAAACAACAAAATAAAAAGGCAACCTACAGAATAGGAGAAAATATTTGCAAACCATATATATGATAAAGGGTTAATAGCCAAAATATATAAGTAACTTTTGCAACTCAATAGCAAAAATCCCAAATAACCCAATTTAAAAGTAGGCAAGAGAACTGAATAGACATTTCTCAAAAGAAGACATACAAATGGCCAGCAGCAGGTATATGAAAAAGTGCTCAACATCACTAATCTTCAGGGAAATGCAAATTAAAACCACAATAAGATATCATCTCACACCTGTTAGGATGGCTATTATAAAACAAAACAAAACAAAAGATAGCAAGTATTGGTGAGGATGTGGAGAAAAGGAAACCCTTGTATACTATTGGTGGGAAAATAAATTGGTGCAGACACTATGGAAAGCAGTACGGAGGTTCCTGAAACAATTAAAAATGAATCTACCATAGAATTAAACAACCCTACTTCTGGGTAAATATCCAAAGGAATTGAAATCAGGATCTCAAAGAGATTATCTGCACTCCCATATTCATTGCAGCACCATTCACGATAACTGACATATAGAAGCAACCTAAATGTCCACTGATGGATGAATGGATAAAGAAAATAATATATATATATACACACACACACAATCTAATTGTATTCAACCTTAAAAGCAAGAAAATCCTGCCATTTGTGATATGGCTGAACCTGGAAGATGTTATGCTAAGTAAAAATAAGCCAGATACAGAAGGACAAATACTGTATGATTCCACTTATATGAGGAATCTAAACTAGTCAAACTCAGAAGAATAGTGATTTCCAGGGGAGGGGAAAATAGGGAAGTATTAATCATAGCATATAAAGTTTAATTATAAGACATAAAGTTTCAGTTATTTAATTTATATAAGATAAATTAAGTCCTAGAGATCTACTATACAGCAGAGTGCCTACAGTCAACAATACTGTATTGTATACTTAAAAATTGCTAAGAAAGTCAATCTTATGTTAAATGTTTTTATCATAAAACAATAATAATAGTAATAAAGAGAGTGGGAAGAAACATTGGAGGTGATGGAGATGTTTGTGTCATAGATTGTGGTGATGGTTTCATGGCTATATATTTATCTCCAAACTTACTAAGTTGTATACATTAAATACGTACACCTTTCTCTTTGCCAATCATACATCAACAAAATGGTTTAAAAGATATCACACACCACGTGGGAAATAATGGCACGTGCATGCAGAAATATTAATTACCTGTTTCCTTTTCTGCTGGGCCTAAAACATAAGAAAAGAAAATTTAGGAGAATAGCAAACTCTACCCATGTTACTCATATAATGGAGAAGGCCAACCAAGCAAGGAAAAGTAGCCTACTTCCTATTTCTAATTAAAATTTGATTTTGTTCTTGGTCTGGTCCTCAGCATAAAACAAAAGCATTTTTTTAAAGATAAAAATTGGAGGTGGGGAGAAAAAAGATAATAAAAAAGCACAGAAGTTTTTCTCATCAAATGAGCATTTTGTTTTTTTGAATGGAGACTCCTTGGCAGTCCTATCTGAGTGGACTGCTTGGATCTGTTTTTTAGAATATTCTCACATTAGACTGGAAATAAGAGGGGTGACTCCAGAAAGGGAAACAGAGGGAAGGCTCCCTCCTCACTGTCCAGTTGGCCCTACTATTGGCTTTTCTCTAACACAGACTTGTTTTTATGTGTACAAATAAAATAAGGTTCTTTATACATATTAAAATAGATCCTATGCTTATCTTTTCTGTATTCTTGGACAGGGTAATGGTCAAAAACATTAACTAAAACAGACAGTCAAGAACAAAAAGATTCTCATAGTTTTTCCGATAGGGTTCATAACATTTATATAAAAGAGTATAGCGTTATTTCAAGTTGTACACAAACTTTTTTTCTATTTGCCAAATTGGAAAGGATTTATTTATTACGTCTATTTTTATATCGATTCTTTCCATCTGTGTTCAGAATACTTAAAACTCCCAAAACATTCATTATTTGAATGAATATTCAAAACTGAAAACCAATGTGTTTATCTTCCACTTTCCCCAAATGACCGCATGTTCTTAACACAACATGATATCATAATTAATGATGTTAAACTGGTAACTAAGGAGGTTTCATGTTGTTACTCTTGTGATATAATATTGGTTGCTATAGTGATGAGATGGCTTTTTTGTTAATCACTCAGGAGGTTGGTTATCCCATGCTTGTTAGAAAGCTTGACCAGATTTGGAGAGAAAAAAAGAATAATAACACAAACAATTATAATCAATCTTTTTCATTGGCTGAATTTTGAGAAAACTATCATAGTATTGACTGATTAATAAATTTATAATTCCTTAGGTTCAGTTTTATATTTAAAGTTACTAAAATTTTTTTAAAGGATGACTTACTTATTTTCAGATATACTAAGCATTTAACATCAACTGCAAACTTTTTCCTTCCTTTAATTAATGGTACAAGTATTATTATATAAGCTGGTTTTATGATAATTTGAGCAAAGAATTTGAGGCCTTTTCTGTTACTTTTAATTATACAAATCAAAGGACTGTTGAATAAAAGCTGATTTTGTGACTTCCCCTCAAAGTCTAATCATCTACTTATTTCTAAGCATTTTAAATATCAGTATCTTTAATGAATAAAGCCTGAAGAAAGAGAAAAAAAATGCACAGTCCTCTCAAGAGACCTAATCTTTCAAATGCATCAGTATATTGCAAGCAATTAAAAACTGCAGGAAGTTCTATCAGTTTATTTCAGCCCTCACAATAATCAACAAGTTTCCTCCTTCTTTGAGTGACACCGCAGAACAGAAAATAAAATTATGTAATACTACACAGTTACTGATCAGGAAAGAATTCACTGCCCATAGTTTAAATGTTAGACATACTTACAGTAATGTTAAAAAAATACAACCCATGAAAACACCTTTTGGTTTCTTGAAAACTCAAAATAAGAACAAAGAACAACTTAAGCACGAATCCTGGGTCTTTCATTCAAGCAGAGTCCCAGGAGGCATATTAAAGCAATGAATAGGAAAAAGCTCTTCAGTTCACCAGCTGAGATTTTAATGAGACATTTCCCTTTGCCATGGCACAGGATTGTTCAGGAAAGGAAAGGACTTCTCATAGAAAATGCAGTTAATAGGCATTGTGGGCTCTCACTGCAACTTTGGCAATTGCTCACTGCACTGACCTTCTATTTTGGCATATTCTGTGAGTCTAGTGTAATTGATCAAGGCAGCTTTCTCAAGACATTTTCTGACCACTTTCTTCACCTCTTCTGCTGGTATGGGAGTGGCAATATCTTTCATTAAAACCTACCAAGAGAGGAAGGGGGTAGAGACAGACAGACAGAGGGAAAGAAGACAGATATTGCATAAATACTAAAAACAAATTACACAAATCGTCCTGGGTCTATTGCTGGGAAGGGGGAAGAGGTCCTAGGTAACATAGGGGGAAGTAATGAGTCGGCACTTCACAACTGGGAATGTAATCCTCCAACCTTCGCTCCTCCTGTCTGAGCCTCATTTATGCCCATCAAAACCTCCCAGAGGCCAGGCCACCATTCAGTGCGACTGTCACTTTTCCTCTAGGGACCCACAACACCATTAGAGCAGCTGTTTCAGATCAGGATTACAGTTCCTGGGACAAGTAATAAACAAAGTTTGTCTTGCACATCCCTCATTTAAAAGCCTTAAATCTTTTGAGCAACATATTTGAAAACAAAAACAAAAATTTCATTAAGAATAAGCATAATTTTTGAGCTCTAAAATAATCAAGACTTCTACTCTCACTAATTAAACTTTAATGATTTCCAGTTCACTGAAAATACCATTGCAAACTATAAAAAGAGGAGGGAGTAAAACTCTTTGTGTTAGTGAAATGAATGCTTATGGAGTTATCAAATGTTAAAATACATATAAGCTTTATGGGATTTTAAAAAAACCTTATTATTCTCTATTGGGTTCCTAAAATATGCTTTTGGATTTTTTTCCTTAAAAAGTTTTATTGCTGGGCAGGGAAAAAATACAGTTATATCCAGAATTCAAAAATATAGTGTATTTAAACAGTTTTATATTGACCCATTGATAATCTTCTTTAAAACTTTCTTAGTGATAAAACTGATCACAATAGGTTTTGATTATGCTATTAGTCAAATTATTTTTTCCATATATTTAATGCAATTTTTCTTGTTTTGCTTATATTCAAATTGTAAAATATATGGCAGAGTGTTAACATAGAGAAGACAACACTTGTAACTGCTCTATTCTATTATTCTTTTATTTTGAAAGGAATATTCAAAGAACACAAAAACATCCATTTTGTGCTTTATTATTTCATTCTCTTTCAGTCAGCCTCAGCACTAAGTATTTCATAATTTCTAATTTATTCAATCATCCAAGTATCAGTGATTCTTGACAATTTTCCTTTTAAGGCTACTCATTGACAACATTTAAAAAATTTTGTTAGGCAAGGTTTCCTTTCTTGTAAACTGCAAACTTCATTATTTGGAAAATTTCTTCCCCTATCAAATTCAATTATTCATCATTATTCTGACGTATAATTGGCACTTTAATTAGAACTGTACATTAGACTTTGAGACCAGGAAAATACTTCTGTGCACAGTAAAAAATATACAAGCATTAAACACACACTATTATATGTGATTATTTCTAAAATTTGATTTTAAGATTAATTTTGTTCCAAATGCAAAACCGTGAGAACTTTACTATTAGACTCCCCATGGTGACACACCATAAATAAGAGAAATAACTGTTAAAATTAGAATGTATACATCTGCCATAGAAATAAGTCTAGTGTTTAAATCAGGAAATATTTCACATTATCTGGAGTGAGGCACTTAATATGGAGTGGGGGCAGGGGGTACTGAATCTTCTTTCCTGGCAAGTGCAGATAAAGGGCTGGCAAATGCAAAAAGGGAGATGCCAACCTCTGTTTCATGCTTCCTCCCATAATCTTCCAAACACAGGTTTCAAGAATTCACATATAGATTGTTTTCTTTTTCTATGTCAGTAAGTGAAGAGACATAAAAATGAAGAGATGGCCCTTAACATTTCTCTCTCAATTCAGCAAGAGATGTGATTAATGACTGTAACTAGAATAAAGGTCCCTGTTCATGCTGCCACCTGTCAATGCAGGGCACCAGGGCATCTCTGCTATTACTAACTCTTCCCTGCTGGGGTGAGGAAGGAAGCTCTGCTATAGAAACCAGGACACGGGCTGCACCAGGTACACATGATGGATCCTGTTCCAAAAACTGAAGCAATCTTTAGGGATTTCATATTATCCATTGTACCTTAATGAATAAGATAAAATGAATACTATGAAAAATCTTAGGTATGAGCAGCTTTCGATATCATAAAAATTATAATAAAACACAACTACTATAATAATATTTCTATCATACAATGCACAATAATCAGGGATAAGACAGGGATATAAAAATAAAATCAATCTGTAATCCGATCTCATTTTAATCGTCTGTTCTATCCCTCATCCTCCAAGTTCTTAAATCACTGAAACAGAGATATAATGCCTGACTCATGTGTTCTCTTTTTGTTTTTAATAGAGATGGTAACAAACAATGTAATCTCAAAAATTAATCTGGTAGAAAAATGGACAAGTACCTGAAGTCAATAAATCAGGATCAGGATAATCAAATTAAGAGGTATAGATGATACCTAGAAATTCCTTTAAATTCTGATAAGGAACAGCTGACTACATTACTTAACCATTAGCATCCAACAAGCATATGAATAGATTTATAGACTCATGAAAATAATACTTCCCTTTCAAACTTTAACTGTCACAAACACAGTAGAGCATATACCTTTCATTAAAAATGATTTGTCAGTATGGATTTTAAATCATGTTTGGCTGTTATTTTTTGGGGGGGGATTAATTCTTACACCTTGTGAATTCATTTAAGGTTAACACAAACTGGAGTAACTGAAATAAACTCTGAGATGGATTTTGAATGAGAAATGATATTCTGGTGAACATTAAATGACATACTCTTACAAATATGAGGATTATGACAGGTCGAAGTACAAATAAAGTTGGAGGGATAATAAAAGACAACTAGGGAGTCTGAAAAGCAGAGATAATCATTTTTAACTGAAAAAAAGTACTATTTCCTGAGGGGAAAAAAGAGGTGGGAGAAATGAATGCTATCAAAAAGATGCCAAAATATCGAGATAGGATGGCAGTAGTGGCTTTGGAAAGACTCTAGGGAGGAAGAAGTGGGTAGGGGAGAGTTTGAATGTAGTAAGAAAAGGTGAGAAATTCATGAAATGCATGGACTCTAAAGAATACAGAGGAATAGGACTAACTGTCTAGTTCAATAATTAAAATATACAGCAATTGAGAACACATATAGTATTTATAAAGTAATGTTCAAACATACCCTTTCAAGTAATGAAAGTGTAGCTTTTAGAGCACCTTCAGGTCGTCCAAAGGGAAAACAATATCTATAAAAACAAAAGAAGGAACAAAAAAGTCAAACATTTAATGCCCAAGACTGCTAAATAATTCCCACTTGTATTACTTGGCATTAACGAAGAACAATGAAATGAAGTTAAAATAACATCAAATTTCTAACTGTTAAAGTCTATCTAGCCCGATGATTTCAATGCCTTAAATAATACAGGTGTAAACTGTGATGAAGAAGCTTCTAAAATTTTGATGATATATGTATTAAAAGAATACAGAAAACAAAAGAGAAACTCAAGAGTCCTTAGTGAACAGATTATATGCATTTCTTAATAATATCTTGTTTAAGGTTTGTTGTTATTCAAGCTCTAAGAGAAAATGAAATGATTTCCCCCATTTAGTGGTTTAGAATAGTCACATAAACCACAGATGATAACTTCTAGGACAAACAAGGTTCCAGTTCTCGCCTTGGCTGACACTTGCCTGTCTACCATGGTGTCTCACCCTTCAATCTCCCCACACAACACACATAAACCCTACGCAGTTCTTTTGTCAGCAGGATCATTTATCCCCAGTATTTCCTTTCCTATGTATTCCTACTGCATACTAACAACTGGAGGCCAGGTTACAGGGATGTTTTGAAATCATGATGAGAGGCTGAGAGAGTGCGTGGGCCACTCAAGTTCCTTGCTACATGATGGTAACAGGTTTATTGCTCTTTACAACAGGGCCCCTCTTCAGGTCAATTTCCACTTAAAGAGTACTGAACGTCGTGGTCATTTCATCCTTTTGGAGCTCCTTGCTTCACTGAACCAGATTCAGCAAAGCACCCCCTTCTAGGACTGCAGCTCCTACCCCAATATCAAGTGCTACAGGCAGCTGGGCTGTCCTTAGACTGCCACCTTGCTCTGATTTTGAAATCTGCAAACTAATAACCTGAACAGAAGTTTACTCATCTCCATAGCTTTTTCCATTATTCACAGACTTAATGGACACATATTTCTCACATATTTCTCAGATAATTATTTTTGCACATTGTAATGTGAATGGGCTTCCCTATAAAACATATTTGTGTTATTTCATTGGTGACCACATTTTAAAGAGAAAAAAAGATTGATTTTTCTCTATGTTTTAAAATAAAGCAGTAGTTGAATTTATAGTAGGATTGCGTTTTAGTTTTATGAAACTTTCATTGGTCTCAGACAAATGCAAACAAATGTTATATAAATCCAGTGACTCAAATTTGTCTTCAAAACACTATATTTACTGCTCAAGATTTCTTTGCTTAGTCTTGCCTCTATGTGCCCTATTACTTTTCCCCTTAGGCCAAAAAAAAGCTACAACCAATTTATTTTGATAGTTTTTCCTATGCAGTGGTGTTTTTTAAAACATTAGGAAATTAGCAAAATAGCTTGAACCATTTTGTATACTATAAACCTTAATCCTCATTTAAATAAAACACAAATTGGGTTCTTGTAGTCCCCTCCCCCTGCTTAATCTTTTCAGTGTATTTGCATAATCCACCCATTGTCTTTCCTATTGTTTATTTCCATTAACCTGTGGGTGACACATTTTATGAATGGAATGTTACTGATCCCCAGATTACATTTAGCATTTCAGGGCTCTGAGGTCCCACTGGGTATGTTCTGAATTACCATTAGCTGCCCACGATGTGTAAATAATTCAACACATTTACAGAGTACAAGTAATCCTGAATCAATAAAGTACAGAAAATAACTACACAGAAGCTTAATTAATCTTTACAAAACAAGTTTTAAAAGAAAGGAATCGTTTTGTTCTGCATTTCAGGATAAATATTTGGGGTTTTTACCACTCTGACAGCTCTGTAAAAGCAATGCAAAGTGAAAAACAGTCAATTATCAAATAAAATTCAACCACCTTTAATACCTAATCTGAATAAATTGAAGCCACCCTTATTCTCACTTTGGTAATTTAATTACATAAATAAATGAGCCTGCATAGACTTGTCCTTTGATAAGCCCTTTCTCTTCCTTATCCATTTTTAAACATAGTATTTTTTTTATCAAAGTTATATATCCACAGTTTGAAGAGGAAACTAGTTTTAATTGAAGTTTTTTTTTTAAATGAAAAACACAAGTTCATTATGTCAGTTCCACCCCAGCCCAAGTCATTTCTTTCTAAAAAAAAAAAAAAACTACTGTCAACTTTTAGCTGATTCTGTTGATAGTTAAATTTTATATCTCTAAATTTCATACTAATATTTTGATTTCTTGATTTTTCAGTTTTAGATATTATCTTATTAACTTCCCACTATGGAAGAGAAGCACTTAGCTTTTATTTTTTAAAATAGCTATGTTTAGAGGTGTAAGTAACATACAATGAGCTGCACATATTTGACGTATATAATTTGGTTAAGCTTTATTAATAACATAGGTATACACTTGTGAAACTAACACCACAGTCAGGGTAATTCATGAGCCCCGAACCTTTACTTCCCACCGCAAGTAACTACTGATGTACTTTCTGTCATTTGGATTAGTTTGTATGTATACAATTTTATGTCAGAGGAAACATACAGTATTTACTTTTTTGGGTCTGATGTCTTTCACTTGGTATAGTTATTTTGACATTTATTCATGCTGTTGCATGTATCAATAACTCATTCCTTTTTATCACTGGGTGATATTCCATTGCATGGAATACACTGTTTATCCATTCTTTGTTGACGGCCATTTGGTTTATGAACATTCATATAAAAGTATTTTTGTGGACATATGCTTTTATTTCTCTTGAGAAAATATCTAGGAGTGGAATGGCTAGGTCATATGATAGGTGTTTAAATTTTTAAGAAACTGCCAAACTAATTTCTAAAGTGGGTTGTAACATTTTACATTCCTATCAACAGCATATGAGAGTTCCAGTTTCTCCACAAGCATGCCAAAGTTTACATTCAATTTCTGTTTGTTTTGCTTTGAATTTTAGCTATACCAATAGGTATGTAGTGGTATTTAATGTTACTGAACATCTTTTCATATGTCTTTTTGCCATCATCTATATTTGGTAAAATATTTGTTAAAACAATTTTTTAATTGTTGATTAATTTCTTATAATTAAGTTTTAAGAGTATATATATTCTGAATTAAAGTCTACTGTGGGATATGTATTACATAAATATTTTCTCCCATTCTGTGATTTATTTTTTTATTTCTTTAACAATATTTTTGGAAGATCAAAGTTCTTAATTTTGAGGAAGTTCAAGGTAACAATTTTTCCATTTCTGAATCATGATTTTACTTTAGAATATTTTACTTTAGAATCTTTACTTAGCCCAATCTTTACTTAGACACAGAGATTTTCTACTAAATTCCAGGTCTACCCTTTTTGAGTTAACTTCTGTATCAGATGTGAGGTATGGATCAAGGTAAATTGAAGATCTGCAGACAAGTGACCATATACGTTATTTATTGCTCAGACCATTTTGGGGTAGGATTTCTATTACTGAAATCATTCATATAAAAACCATGGAGACTTATCCAGTTACCGATATAGATATCCAACTGAATGATGAGCTCTGTCTCAACAATAGCAAAACAGGGAAAATTATATTGATTTTCATTGAAAGACATATATGATGCATTTAAAGGAATCTATACAACCCAGAAGACAACATTTTCAACAACAGCAAAAGCAGAAATAAGTCTCTGCAAATGAAGAAGACTTCTTCATGTCTCTATTTTGTTTATAAACTTGAAAATACCAATTTCAGGCAGAGAATACAATCTTAACTCCGTAAATTGAATTCGGCCATGTTATACGCTAGTTAGAACAGTTTTCCTAATGTGAGTTTTCTGGTCTTTTGGGTGAAATAGTAATGTGAGATTGTCCCATGTACTGCACATCTCAATCTAGCCCTGAATGACTGCCCCAAACCTCCAGTTATTGTGACAATGAAAATCCTCCCTCATTCACTTACTCTAAGGTCGTGGTACCAGCCTCAGTGAAAATCACTAATGTAAGGGAATATATGCATGGTATATGCTCTGAAAATTTCTGCCTTAATATCATTTGAAACTCACACCAGAGTCTAAGTTCTTGTTATTACAGAGAAGGAACCAGAAGCTCACAATGGCCCTATCGCAATCAACTGGTTAAAAAACATTTTTGGAGGACGTATTCACTGAGATTATATTTTAAATAAGTTCACATAAAATGATTCCAAATCACATACATGAAACATGGTAGACATGTTATAAGACATAATACATTAACATGGTGACATTTTATAGGGTCTAATAATAATAATAGTGATAGCAAAAGAAAATGTCTTGGTATATTTCTGTTTGTAAACATTAGGTTCTATTGAACTAACTATAATCGGAGGAAAAGAAATATTATCAAGATATTTATCTTTCATGCTGCAAATGTTTCTTAGCATTGATAGCTAATTTTTCCTGAGCAAGGAACTGTGCCAGGTGCTGTGGCCCATGTTCTCACAGAATGTAAACGGAAAGATAACTAATGACTGAAGCAATGTATGTAATAAGTATGTTATAAGTGACAAGTGAAGCATAGACAACAAATGCTAAAAGACTTCAGAACACTCCTTGCTGGAATCTTTGAGAAAGGCTCCGCCGTGGAGGTGGGATTTGAGAGTCTCCTTGCCTGGTGATACAAAGAGAAGGAGGAATCTTCACCAGAACTAGGGGAAGAGGCCATGCAAGGATGAGAAATGTGAAAGGTAGGGAAGAGGCACAGTGGAATGTATATTAATGGGGAATGGGTAACCTACAAGAGTACTGGAAACCGAATGGCAGGATGGGAGGCAGACCACAGGTTGAAGAATGTGGATCATACTCTGCAGGCAGTGGGGTGTGACGGGGGGATGACTGATAATTCTTGAGTAGTAGCAGAAAGACATAATCAACAATTTTGGGGTGTGTGTGTGAAGTATGATCAAAGCAAATATTTGTATCAATTGAATAGAATATGCACCTAAAATGTCTTATCTGATAAATATCTGTATTAATGAATAGAATATACACCTGAAATGGCTTATCTGATTTTCTAAAAGGGAAGAGAGTCTCTCTTTTATCTCCTCAAATTTCTCTTTTTCTTCTACTGAAACAGTTCCAATTCCATCAGGCCTGAAAAAAAACCAACAATAAGAATCAGTAATTTATATCAATAAATCATTTACTTTCATATATTTTATACATAAATATGTATTTCTCTAAAAAGTCTAAATAATTAAAGAAAAGGCATGTCAATCCACAGTATACATATTGTCTTTACAGTACAAATTTACTGGAGATATTTGCAGCCATTTGCTTCATATTTTGACCTGGAATGAATGGAATGGAATTATTCTCTTTTAGTCAACCTTCAAGGTAAAGGATTACAATAAATATTTTCCAGATCTACAGAAAACAATGACTAGTCCTTGAAAATGGCAGTGAAAAGTGTTTCATAGTGGCATCAAACATTTGACCAATTAAATGAATATTCCCCCGAATGAAAATATTTTTTAAAATATACTGAATGTAAGCTAAAATGTTTTAACTGCTTCTCTTGCAGATAAAAATTAAGCTAATATGAAATTAGAAATTTAATTTTAATCATTGTAAGAAACATAGACATTTTGGATACATGTAGAAGCACTGTTCTCTTGTTTTTTTGTTTAAATATGTGGACATATAAATAAAAATAAATATTAGAAAAAAAATATACAGAGAAGACAGATTATGTTTTTTTCCAAGATTTTTGTATTTAACTAAATATTCCTAAAGAATCAATTTGAGTTTCATTACGATTTGAAAAAGCAGCTAAGAAGACTGAAAAAATATGTTTTACTAAGATTAAAATTGAAAATATAAAATATATCTAATAGTAGAGACTTAAACTTTATTCTGTATCAATTTAAGTATCTGGTTATATAGCAATCATCTAAAATATTGAACATGGAAATTTTAACTGTTTGTTAATGTGGAGGAAAAAACACAAACATATTAATCTCATTCATTTCAAAGTCTATTCGTAGATTTTAACAACAAAATGAGTCTTTACGGCTTGGTAATTAACAATGATCATGTTGTACCTTATTAGCTTATTTGTCTGAAGATTATATTTTAAAAACGTATTTGTCATTCCAATGTATTGATTTTAATGGTTACGTTTAAAATAGGTAGACACAGGAATTATCAAAAACAAAACAAAATCAATGCTTAAAATAACTTTGCCAACAAGATTTTTATCTGATGTTCACACTTTTTAAACTATATACATGTACTCTTGTGTATGTGTGTTTATCTATATATGTTTGATGCTTGTAAACTACTCAGTTAGGACAAAAGCAATTAAACTTATACCTGAATCATAATGACCTTTTATTCACATCAAAACATCATTTAAATATGAGAATTTTTCCTGATACAGAATAAAAAATTTTTACTTCAGAAACTTACATGATGCTGTAATTTATGCTTTGAAAACATTTTATAATTATATTTCACTCCTAAGTAGGGAAATATCAATTATTTAATTTCATATTGAGAATAATATATCAATCACATTAATTCCATCAGAATTCATTTTGAATGTTAACTATGGAAAAACTACTAAAAAATGTTGGTCTTTCAAGTACTTTTAGGGAGGAGAAAAGGTCTGATGTATAAATGATAAAGCAGTGAACTACAGGCTAATCCTAATGTTTTATATTAAATAATAGATATTTCACATTATTATTACTTTTGAACCAACTCTCATTGAGCAAACGTTAGCACAAAACCTAGACTATAACCTATGTTGTTTTTTTTATATTTTATTTTATTTTATTTTGAGACAGAGTCTCACTTTGTTGTCCAGGCTAGAGTGAGTGCCATGGCGTCAGCCTAGCTCACAGCAACCTCAATCTCCTGGGCTCAAGCAATCCTGCTGCATCAGCCTCCCGAGTAGCTGTGACTACAGGCATACGCCACCATGCCTGGCTAATTTTTTCTATATATATTAGTTGGCCAATTAATTTCTTTGGTTGGCCAATTAATTTATTTCCTGACCTTGAGCAATCTGCCCGCCTTGGCCTCCCAGAGTGCTAGGATTACAGGTGTGAGCTACTGCACCCGGCCTAACCTATGAATAAGTAGTGACGCTGGTCACAAAAGTTCAACTGGGGAGTTCTATGTAAATCATTAATTTGGGAATTTGGACGTTCAGAAAAAAACTATACCCTAAATTATGTTATTACATAGACAGCTATAAAAACTCAGGTGGTTATTTCACTAAACATGCTCATACAAACTTGATTTAAAAAGAACAAAGAACTTTATTATTTTGATGACTGATATAATCCTTTGGCTTAGCTACCTGGCAGGTGCCATATGGTTAAATTTGAGTGAATTTTCTTGTTTGGCTCAACTGTCAAATAAGATCGTGATCCATGGTGACTGAGTAAGTTGACCTGTCGTATTAAACTTCACTGTGGCACACTGCCTACCTGAAAGAATGGAACTGGGGGTTCAGGTGATAACAAGTAAGAAAGGTAAGTCAGGGGAAGTTCACCTGTGTGAGTTAACCTTCACTAAGATAAAGACCATCGTATCAGTGAAGGACCGTCATCTTACTATCACTAAACTATGTTCAAATCTGACCAGTTAAATAAAACATTTAACAATTTGGACTGGCCTTTATTTACACGTTCTTATTTTAGGGAATACGCCAGACTGGGTACTGAATATTAGGTATATGAAGCAGCCTTCTATATCGAAATTATGGGTAATAAAGAGCAACTTTGCTGTAGTCAATCAAGCCTACAGGCCACAGTTCCTCCTACAATAATTATTCCCAACAAATGCAAATACTTCCTAAGTCATCAACATTTTCCTTGTCACTGTAATTATTAAAAAAAAAAAAATTAGCAATTAGCAATTACAGAATTAAAAGTCTGCACCTGGCACTGTGCTAGCTGTTTTATATGCAGAATAACACAGAATGCTCACAACAATACTGTCTTCAGTTTTCCAAGAGAGGAGACTGCTGAGGCTCAGAGAGGTTAGGTTACTTCTCCAAGGTCACACAGGAGCCTGGACTTGAGCCTAAGTTTCTTCCATCCCAAAGCCAGTATTCTTAGTTCCCATGCCTTACTCTCTTTCCCTTATACTTTCAAAGAAAATAACAAAGAGCAATTAAAAAAAAAACACACAAAAACCAAAACAAAAGAAAAAAACCTGACTAAACCACGGAAGCCATAGCTGAGAAGCGATGATGGCGGACATATTTTAAAGGCTCTTATTCACATCAGGCATTTTCTCCTTGACTTGTATAAGGTGGAGAGCACAAAAATTAATAAAATTTAAGATATAATGCCTAACACTGAATAGGTTAAAGAGGACTTTAACACTATTGTGGGGCTCTTCAAGCATGAGTCACATCATGGGATTCCTAGGCTCAAAACCCTGCAACAGCGGCACGCAACATGAAAGCCAAAGCCTTTACGATGGTTTAGAAGACCTCATGGTCTTGCTCTCCACACTCACTGCCTGATCTCTGCGCTGTAGCCATGCTGGCCCCCCAGCTAGTCCTCCCTCACACATGCGATGCGTGCTCCAGTCTCAGGGCCCTTGCTAGTGCCGCTTCCCCTGCCTGGGAGCTCTTCCTCTAGGCATACCCAGACAGACAGACAGACACACGCACACGCACACGCACACACTCCTCTTGCTCATTCACTTCCTTCTGGTCTCTACTTACTCAGGATTAGTGAAGTTATCTCTGTACTATATAAAGATTTATTCCCCATTCCATATGCCTTTTTTCTTTTCATATGCTTTATTGCTGGACAATGTTCATATGGCCACCATCAGATGTGACATAGTTACCTATTTCTTTATTGTCTGTCTCTTTTGTGCTGTATCCCTAGTACCTAGAAGAGTGGCTGGCATATTGTTGATGTTCAATGCATATACATTAGAAAAAAATGAGTGATAAATAGAAAAAAATATTAGTTAAGATTATAAGAATTTGTGAATTAATAATATGACAAATTATGATTATTACTGCTTATTAGTAGTATTAGGATGTAAATCATTTGGAAAGTTTTAATCAAATAACAGTAGGCAAAATAGGAAGTTTTGTGAAAAGCAAACAGAAGCAAGGATTGTAGTTAAGTAGCCTGGGGAGAAGATCTCTAACAAAAGTTAGCATGTATTTATACTTAGCAAGAAATTGTTAGTGTTTAGTTCCATTTTAACTGATAGTGAATAATTTCCTTTAAATCTGAAGAATAAATTTTTTCTCCTTAGATAATAAAAGTAAAAATAGTAACTCTTTGACATTGATAAAAAGTCTATGTTAAAATGTGGTTATTTAAAATTCTAACATAAAAGATCAATTTTCTGACTTGAATGTTAACTGGCGTTTAATTCTATAACTGATAATTAAACATTAAAATGGTTCTAATGAGAAGGTATGGTATTTTCATGTATCCAGATTTAATATTTTCATTTATTCCTGGGGCCTATTGTTATTGAAGTTATATGGTTTCAATAAAAATAAAGTGCTCTGTGAAAGAAGTTTAAGATATGAATAAATTATAAAACATGGATTAAAAGTAGATATACTTCTTTTAGTTACAGATAAAGTCAAACAAGTTATGACATGGACTTTCTCCTGGTATTAAATAATAAGCAACTGAACACCAAATGTTGTTGTGTCTGTCTTAATTATACTTTAAAGATTCTTAAAAAACAATTCATACAGTAGAATTTCTGCCACTGATGCTTAATAGCCTGATCTTACATCTGCATATAGGTCACATTTTGTTTGCAGAAAAGCCATCACACACACACACACACACACACACACACACACACACACACACACTGTGTGCATACACAGACATACACACATGCATACGTACTCACACAGTATCTTTTACGAAAGGCAGATTCATCCACAAAATATTTCATGAGGCAAATACGTGTTAATTTAATTACATTTCTTCATAAATTAAAAAAAATTTTATAATTTGTGCTAGTCAATCTGGCAGATTAAGGCATTTTAAAACAAACAAACTCACTCATTTGTATATATTGGACATCTTGTCTTGATTACCAGTTCCTTCTGTAACAAGTACAACATGAGCTCTAAGTTGAGA